GAAATGATGTAAATGCAAATATTAGGGCACTACGACGACATAAATAGTCATACAAGTATGACATTTGGCAGGAAGTGTCCTGACACAAAGGGGAAAGTAGCAAAATAAGACTCTGGGGCTTGCTGCCGTTTTATTTCAAAATATCACACAACATCCCAAAAGTATTATTAACTTATTGTAAAATGAGTTTTACTTGTTGGATATATATCCCTTAAATTCTCTGCTTTCATTTTCTGTGTACAGAAGCACAGGTTCACAAATGTAGTCAAAGTTCCTTGTTGTGGATGGGCGCCCTGTGCATCGCTGTGTCTTCATTTTAAGGAAATAAAGTGCAGTTAACAAACAGAGGTGGAAAGTAACTAATTACATTTACTCACGTTACTGTAATTGAGTTTTTTTTGTGTAATTTGTAATTTTTTCAGTAGTTTATGAAATCTGTAATTTTACTTTTACTTAACTAAATTTTGAATGAAGTATTGTAGTTCACTACACTTGAAATCACATCCGTTACTAAGTAAAACAGAAAACAACAACAAGTTTTCGGCTAAATGTGCGAGATACAGAGAGCAGAGGAGGATTGTAAAGGTGTGACCATGTAGAGACAGAAATGACATGCTGTCGTGTAAACAATATATAGTAAGTTATCACGTTATAAAGTGAAACTTTTCACCGTATAACACGATAAATATTATATTATGTTATTATATGAAGCGTCCATCGCACAAAATAATATAAGTTTAGTTTATGAAGAGATCAGACAGAGCCCTCCTGTGAATTGACCTGGATATGAAGCGTCCGTAGCGCCAAATAATATAACGGTAGTTTCTAAAGAGCAAAAAAAAAAACTTAAAATAAATCAGCAGGTCATATTTCGGCGGCGGAGCAGCTGCTAGTTGCATATAAGGGAAACACTGTCGCTCAATGGATTTGTTCTGTTTTGGAATACACACTATTCTTCCAAATTAGTGTTAGTGTGTTTTAATATTCAGAATTTCGCTTCGACAAGCTCTCTCTTTGTGGCCATACTCCTGTTTACATCCCTGAGAATAATGCCCAACAACATTGCTCAAAAAGTTGCTCTGTCAGGGCGTCGGTGGCTTAGTGGTAGAGCAGGCGCCCCATGTACAAGGCTGTTGCCGCAGTGGCCCAGGTTCGACTCCAGCCTGCGGCCCTTTGCTGCATGTCACTTCCTCTCTCTCTCCCCCCTTCACACTTGTCTGTCCTATACATTAAAGGCTGAAAATGCCCCAAAAAAATATCTTTAAAAAAAAAAAAAAAAAAACTTGCTCTGTGTATCATCAGTCCAGCAGTTGTGTTGGTGAGTCAAAATGAATGAGGGCTGCACAATATTAGACACAACTGACCACACAACAATTTTGTATACTGCCATATGTATTGCAATAGTCAACATTTGGGATTTGGAAAGACTGTATTTGCATGAAATATACATTTTACAATCAAACTGTCATGGAAACTGAGAACTTCACAACCTAAAGTATTAAGCAGCAAAATAAGTATGGCATATTGCCTTTGACTAATATTATATTGATATGATGAACTTATACTGCTAGTCTCACATTGTTATTATTGCACAAGAACACTTTGTTATGGTGATGCTCTAATGATATTGTGCAGCCCTAAATTGAATTGAATTCTATGGTTCATCATAGAAAAATAACTGGTTTTCAGATTGGATTTATGACCCCTGGACCATATTTGCACTGCATAGGAGTGACCCCCATCAAGTTGTTGGAAGTAACTAAGTAACTTCTACTTTAAGTACATTTTAAACGAACTGCGTTTTACTTTTACTTGAGTAGATTTTTAGATGGGTAGCTTTACTTGTACTTAAGTAGAATTTCATCAGAGTAAAGGTACTTAATTTTTACGTACGTAATTTTTCAGTACTTTTTCCACTTCTGTTAACAAATACTGGGGTCCTGTCAAATGCATTCTAACCAATGCACCGCGGCGAATGTCCATCTTAAGAATCAGCTGTTACAGTCCAACATCCTTCCTTCAGAACAGGGGGCGGGATGGGAGAACTGAGTCGAGGAGGAAGAAAATGCATCAGGTGTGTTGTTACTCCCTACCATTGTGCGACCCTGTGGGGCGAACACAACTCCACCACTGACCCAAAATAAATACACAAGACACCTTTCAAACAGTTAGATCCATGGGATTTATTAACAAAAATCATGCAGACAGGACAATAAAATCTCAGACTGAGAGGCAGCAGGACCAGCAGTTCCTACACTAGAGGCCTCTCTCCTCTGCTGCTGTCAGTCAGTATATTTCCATGCACAGTTCAGTGCAGCTACAGTTACAGCTCCACTAGGACTTTTAACTGGTTTACTGTCCTTGTCCCAGTATACAAGCACGGGAGAGGAATCCATTTATTGACAGTAGCATGTCTGACTCCTCTACGATAGGTGGAGATATGTCCCCTTTCAGCTTGTTAGTATTGGACCTTTTACGTCACAGACCAAATAATTGCCCTTCCGTGTTTGCCTCCCATCCATGTATGTCATCTTCTTCTCGTGTATGTCCTTAGACCTTCAGGTCCATTGAGGCAAGCCAGAACTGTGTTTCATTGTCCAGGTCAATAAGATCATGATCGCCATTCAGTGGCTAGTGTTTGGGACAGCCGGTCCACAGTTTGTAGTGGATCCCCTCCTGGACCTCACAGCTGCATATGACACAGTCTGGCTGGGTGGCCTACACATGAAGCTTCTGGAGACCATCCCAGACAAGTACATGGTGAGCTTCATAATGGAGATGCTGAGCAACCACAGCTTTCAGCTATTCACCAGTAACGGCCAAAGCAGCAGGGTGAGAGAGCTCGAGAATGGTGTCCCACAGGGCTCAGTGCTGGCACCTATGCTGTTCAGCATCTATATTTACAACCTACCTGCATGGCAGGGCAATGCAGATGACCTGGCCATTCTACTCAGTGACCCATCCTGGGAAGCAGAAGAAGAGGGCCTCTCTGAAGACATGAACATCCTGTCTTCATACCTGAAGAACTGGCGCCTCTAGCTTAGTGTTGACAAGACCGTAACTTGACCGTAACCGTATGTTCCACCTAAACGAGGGGAACTAAACATCATGATCCATGTATGTCAAAATAACTCTTTCAGTTGACACATCATGAACTGTGTCTACCGGCTTCTTCTTCTCTTACACATTTAATACTATTGGACTTCCGGGTCAAAGCCCGGGGCAGAAACTGTGGAACATGCTCAGAGCGCCTTGGCCAGTTTGGGTCTGATTGACTGTATACATGCAGGAGTCACATGATCTGGGTGTGTTAGTCCCACTGTGAGAAATCCAGTATGATTTCAGTAACACTAACATGTTTACATGGATTTTTCAAAAGTCCGTTTTTAGTTGGCCTGACACAATAAATTAATTTCCTCTGATGTCGTGTAAACGCAATGACAGAGGCTTTTAAGCTCCTCCTTCCTCATGCCAGGTGCAATGCAACTTGTTAGGTAATGCACCACACCTGGGCAAATGTGTTTAAATACTTTTGGGTGGAAATGGGATGTGTTTAAGGCCTGGTTTTTGTTCCCGAACTTAGATATAAAACTACATTAGTAGAGAATGTAAAAAAAGTCATGGTGTGACAAAACTTTAAGAAGTCATAGTACAGTTATGTTAAAAATGTAACACTCTGAATGAGTGTTCTGTGGGGCAGTGGCACAAGTATTTCATTAAAACCAATGTTTGGTTAATTAAAAATAATCATAAAAACACAAATACAAATCATATTTTATTGTATTGTTTTACAGAGGTGTTGAAAAGCTGTTCAAAAAAGTCAAGGTCCCAACCACATTATAAAATATTTCCTCATCAAACTATTGAGCAATGTTAATATGACCACCCTGAGATAGATATCTAAAAAATAGTAAAAAGTATTTTATTAAAAATTATTTTTTTCAGTAGACAATTATAAAGTTCTTTTCAGCTGTGTTTTCAAGATATATAGAATAAAAGAATCATCTTAGTGTTAGTATAAAGATATAAAATAAGTTCTAAAAAATAATTATAATTTGTGCTATAAAAAGGTAAGGAGCAATACAGTATGTCAAAAAAGTCATAGTATTGTTGAAAGAAAAAAGGGTCATAAAATAGCATGTCAAAAGACTGTTAAAAAAGTCATAGCACAGTATGAGACATGGTCTCCTTCCAACCCTGACACTGCAGGACTACTAAGAACGCTCCAGGTACCACAAACAGCCAGGATTTCGAACCCAAGCTCTGGAACATTGGCACCTTATTGCCACAGTCAGTCCAAGTATTCCACCAAGTACCTGTCTCACTTAACCTTTTAACCTTTTCATTTGGGTGTTGGAATTAAAAATTCACCTGCCCTGGATTGAACCTTTAACCTGAGATTCTCCAAGGACTGTGTGTCACCGGGTCTTTTACTCAACACACCAACCTTAAAACTCACTGACCCTTGATAAGGATAAAACCGACAACCTCAGGATCTCCAACTGGTCCTTTAGCATCCTGAGCTTTGAGACGCTTTGTGACGCTTTGTTTGTGTTCCTTTCAGCCTTTATTCTTTTCATGTGAGTGTCGGATTTTAAAATTCAACTACCCCAGGGAAGGATAAACCTTTCAACTGCAGACTCTCCAAGCAGCCCTTTAACGGTCCGAGCTATTCACCTCTCACTTCACATTCACTCACAGTGTTTCACTCAATCTTTTACTCTCTCCCTTGAACACCTGCCTTTAAATTCTCTGAGCCTTAATAAGGATTCAACCCACAACCTCAGAACTTCCAACCAGTCCTCTAACAGCCTGAGCTACTGCATCAGACAGTTATTCCATCTTTCCTCTGAGTGTTGCACCTTAAAAAACATCAGACTATTAGACTGAGGACTCAACAAGGCAGTCCGGGATTTACTTTATATGCCACTATGCTATGACAGCCTTTTTAGATACCTCTGACCAACAACAATTCCCTCAAAAAGAACAGAGGCAGTAGCTTCTTCTTATTAGGTTTGTTTAATAAGTACAAAATACACACTTTTTAATGAAGTGTGGACTTAAGTTACATGTAAACAATTAAAGACATCAAACACATCAATGTATTGATATTTTCAGCAGCAGTTATAAAGGATGATTAGTTGCTTGTTTGGAAAGTTAGCTTGCAAACTTTGTCTGCCCAGAGCCGTAACTTGTCTGGCCTCTACTATGATTTAGAAGAGTTTTGTCTTTTCTTTGCTGCATCATGCAGCAGAGATGAGAAGAAATGGGGGAGGGGTAGGAGCTCCAGCTAAAAACAAGATGGCCAAATCAAAGATGGCCACAGAGGGAGGTCTTCTAAGCACATCGGTCAGAAAAGCAATAGGACATGTGAGAGAGGAAGTTTTAAGTTCCCTCTCTGAGTGTAGTTATGTTGAAAGCCAAAATGTTTGCGTGTAATCTAAGTTTCATAGAGGTGCCGGGTTAGTAAAAACGGTCTGTATGAAGCATTACCTACCTTAAATCAACTTTGCTTTTGCAAAGCCAAATACTCAATAACCTGACTACAAAGATATCACAACAATAACTCAGTGAATAATGTGAAATCATTATATATACATTGACAGAGGTCAAACAGTCTTGCTGGTCCTGTACTGTTGTACTAATGTTGTGCCCAGTTTTTATGTTACCAGTCCATGAATGGAGGGAAGAGTTGGTTGTTTTGTTGTTCTGCTTGTTAGCCAATAGTTGTCTGTTATAGATGAGCCTGGGTTAGAAGAGTTGTGGTTCCAGTGGTGCAGGTCAGAGGACCCTGGTCGCTCTTTGTCCTTACAGAGTTAGCAGTACGGCACTAACTTAGCCTTGTTCTCATTTGCTCAAAAAGTTAGCTTGCAAACTTTGTATCTGCCTGGAGCATGAAGGTGTCTGGTCTCTTCTACCATTTAGAGAGAGCTTGTGCTGGCTGGGAGCAGACCACATGCAGAGAGTATTTTCTTTGCTGCTACTATAAGTCCATGATCTTAACTGTCGCACCACCCTCAGGACAAACTCACATCCTACACACATTCTCTGAACTACCATCAGCTGTGTGTGATCCTGTACAGACTGAACTATCTGTTGGGAACATAAATTCGGGCTTGACACAGCGGCACCAAATATGTCGGGATTTAATTGGCTATTGGAAATAATTAATAATCATGTTAAATAATGTGACTTAATTAACATTAAATCACCTCGTGGGGCACCATTCCCGTAAAGGGAAAAATGATAGCCAGTTAAAGATATCAGTCTCCTAAAATACGCTAAACTCTTAATTTGGAGTTTTGATTAATGATTAAATTAATGACAACAACCAAAATTAACAGTAACGCCTAAAGGATTTCGGAGTTCTTGACGCAGCAGAGGTTGACTATTCATTCACTCTTGTGCAACATTAAACAGACAGCAGGTATGATTCCAAAGAATTATATTTCTTCACAAACTAGCAAAGCAAACCAAAACACACAAATTCTAACTAACTATATACAAGCTTGGTGTGTGTGTGTGTGTGTGAGTGAGTGAGTGAGTGAGTGAGAGAGAGAGAGACAAAGGCGGGTGTGGTGATCAAAGAGCCATTTGGCCTACAAAACAAAATGGCTGACAACAGAACTACCAAAATGGCTGAATCAAGGCTGGCTTCAGGTCGGAGGAGGTGTTTTTCTGACCGTGTGGTCAGGACAAAGACAAAGGAAAAGAAGCAGGAACTTTGAGATGCCTGTTTGGGTGTAGCTCTGTTGAAAGCCTATTTGTTAATGAGTCTATGTGAATGTGACGTGTGTTGCAAACGGTCTGAATTAGTGCAGAGATTGTTTAGTTGTGTGCAAGAATCTGTTGTGAACAGTATTAGCAAACTAAACACTTAGATTTGGCGAAGCCAACTAATCAATGACCTAACTACAAAAAATCACGACAATTCTCAGTGAACAGCATCAAATCATGTACAACAAGTTAAACAGTCTTGCTTAGCCTGTAAAGCTGTGATAAGCTATGCCCAGTTGTTACGTTACCGATCCTTGAATGGATGGGAGAAAGAGTCACTTGGTGGTGTGCTGCTTTGTTAGCCGGCAGAAGAAGGCTGGGAAGAGCTGTGGTTTCAGCTGCAGTTGTTGTGGTGTCCTTTGTTCCAAAGGTGAAACTCCGAGGAAGCTGGTCACTCAGGGTTTAGCAGAGTCAGACGCTGGGTGCTAACTCACTTGGTTCTCTTCGTTGCTGGAACACTAGTTGCAAACCTTGTGTTTGCAAGAGAGTCTATGATCAATTGCCCTCCCTTTAGTGGTTTGGGCTATGGAGCAAGGGTCTGGGCCTCTGTGCTGGTCCAGTCCCAGCCGGAAAAACGTGTGAGCTGCTCAGCAGCTGGAGCAAGAGAGTGAAGGCTTGGAGGGAGCAGACCTTCTACAGGGTTTGGTGACATCACAGAAGGGCATGTCACTGTAAAAGTCCTGTCCAATCAAGTTGTGAGACTTGTGTCTCACTGAGGTGTGAGGTGAGACCTCCTGGAGATGGGTGTCAAATAGCTGTCTTTGTTTGGAGAACAAAGAGCATGCAGAGGAAAAAGCCTTTAAATGTCCAGTGATGATTTTACCAAATGATAAATCATCTGTGGTCCTGTGAATCCCAACATATCTGTTAAGCAGTGAGAAAGTTTCTCTAACAGGAGGAGACTCTCCCTCCTACAGAGAACACAGAGACACTGAGGAACCAGGTGACCAGACTGCAAACCCAAACCCAGGATAAAGAAGTTCAGTGAATGTGGTGTTGAAGGTGTGGAGGTGGATCAGTGTGTCAGAGGAGACTCTGAAGAAGGACAGAGTGCCAGCAGGACAGTCCACATACACTGCTACTCTACCAGAGGAGGAAGAGGAGGAGGAAGATGTTACTCTGTTTTTGTGCCAGACAGTATAACCACCATCAGAGCAGCTCAGACTCCAGGACGGATCATTCCATCCAAACGCACAGTC